ATAGATGAACAAACACGGGTGAGTATATAGGTTATTACACAGAAAGTCAAAAAAGCATTGATAAAATTATATTACTTCATCAGCAAACCAGGTGCATAATTTATTACATTGCAAACTAAAACGCCCACCTACCCTACCGGCGCAATGATAAATCACAGGTGTCCAACAACAAATTACACTCTCAACACTCTTTCCCGATCGCTCAACGTGTGGTATCCACATTCTTGTATTTGCTTTGCCATTTGCCAACCTGCATGATATGGCGCAACACCTACGAAGCTCACTATGCAAATCCTTCTACATGTCCAGTATGCCACTCGCTAATCTAATAATGCACTTGGCCTACCACTTTATTTCTTCACAAATAATTAATCTTACAATATACAAGTATTACAGCTGACTTTGTATACCCTTCTCTAGGCAAAATATTTAAGGCCACCAATATATTATGTCGATCATACACTATGTCTATGATTCAATAGATCTATTGTAAAGTAGACCTATCTCATTCTATGTTTACCCAAAATTAGGCTTATCATATACTCGTACTAAGCTAATTATCACCCAAGGTGTCAACTACTCACTTTAGCTCCCAATACACTGGACATGGCATATAATGTTTTTTACTCACTGGTTTTACTCACTGGGCTATCAACGCACTGGGAACATCACACACTTATATGTCTATACTACGGTAGCTAGTCATCTCATCATACGAGACATTTCGTCATCGACACATTTCACCACTATGGCATTTCATCATTGTCCTAAGTGCATTTTGCAAACATCAGTACATGTAGGTGTAAGTAAATAAGTAACATGCTAAACCATTAGATATCATATCGGTAATAAATTACATATATTGTGTGATACACGTACAATTCTTGGGTTAGGTTCAAGGCAGGAACCAGTTCATTTGGAAACCAACACAAAGGTTAGGTTATTAGGTGAAATTAGGTTGGGTTAGGTTAAGTTAGTACACGTTACACCTACAGTATCATATTTTTGCAAAACGCACTTTATGCAGCAATGAAATGTCATGGTTATGAAACGTGCAATGATGAATTGCTATAACGATGAAATGTTCAATTATTAATTGCTGTATTTGTGAAATGTTTCGACGTTGAAATGTTTTATTTGGCTCAAGACAAATGTCAAACACCGAGACAAGATGGCAGAGAATGGACGAGACAATATGATGAGATGTCAGGAAACCCTCTACCAATCACTTGCCCCATAAAATTCTAAGCCTAGCGTACGCTAGGCCATCACTCTACCTACAATACGTACGGCTCACCTGGCACCAGCACCGGAGACACCATGAGGTAGGTGATGCAGGCCGCCCCTGCTAGGCCAGCACTCTACCTACAATACGACGGCTCACCTGGCACCAGCACCGGAGACACCATGAGGTAGGTGATGCAGGCCGCCCCTGCTGCATGTCCAAATAACGTCACTCTGCCTACAATACGACGGCTCACCTGGCACCAGCACAGGAGACACCATGAGGTAGGTGATGCAGGCCGCCCCTGCTGCATGACCAAATAACGTCACTCTGCCGGGATCGCCACCAAAAGCCGCAATATTTTCGTGCACCCACGACAGCGCGGCAAGCTGGTCCATCAGCCCCTGGTTGCCCACCACCTTGCGTGTTGACCCCGTCGGTGATGTATTCAGGAATCCTAAGGTAAAAAAGTCAAAATAGTTATATCACTTACATAAAAATCAGCATTGCGTTGCGCAGCGAGTTATATCTTATTGGACTAAAAACAGCGGTGCTGCCATTCTAAGGTCTTAAAGTTTCAAAATTTTCTGTGTTATGTAGAGTTTCATTTCCATCCATCGTGACTGAACTTCTTTGTAAAATTATTAAATTTTTCGTTTGAGTTTCCAGCCAAAATTTTGCTTATTCATAATTTTCAGCCATGAGCTCCAGGACACAGAAAAAATATTCCTAATAATCCAATGATGAGGCTTTCTGTCTTCCGAACAAACCAGTAAGTTCTTTCTAAGTTAATGATTAAATACGGATTTCTCCAATTGGAAATCGATTTTTTCGGTCAACTTCAGAGATTTGGTCCATTGATATTGAACTTTCTAACCTCACTCCGGTAAGCCTTCTTGCCGCTGCCGTCCGATAGGCTGCTTCGTCGCCCGCATCCCAGCAGGCATCTGACGTTGAAACAACGTTGATTATTGGTTGATTTTGGGTTGAAATGTTGAACAACCAAAATTAAACGTCATATCAACGTCGAAATCTGACCAAAACTAGAAGAATCACAAAACAACCTTATTTCAACGTTGAAACAACGTCGATATTGGTACGTTGAATGTTTATTTATTTTTAAACGTCCAATCAACGTCGAAATCTGACCAAAACTAGAANCAAAACTAGAACGGACGTAAACAACCTTATTTCAACGTTGAAACAACGTCGATATTGGTACGTTGAATGTTTATTTATTTTTAAACATCCGATTAACGTCAAAATCTGACCAAAACTAAAGCGGACATAAAACAACCTTATTTCAACGTTGAAACAACATCGATATTGGTACGTTGAATGTTTATTCATTTTTAAACGTCCGATCAACGTCGAAAATTGACCAAAACTAGAAAGGACGTAAAACAACCTTATTATAACGTTGAAACAACGTCGATATTGGTATGTTGAATGTTTATTTAATTTTAAACGTCCGATCAACGTCGAAATCTGACCAAAACTAGAACGGACGTAAAACAACCTTATTTCAACGTTTAATCAACATCGATATTGGTACGTTGAATGTTTATTAATTTTTAAACGTCCGATCAACGTCGAAATTGACCAAAACTAGAACGGACGTAAAACAACCTTATTTCAACGTTGAAACAACGTCGACGTTGGTACGTTGAATGTTTGTTCATTTTTAAACGTCCGATCAACGTCGAAATCTGACCAAAACTAGAACGAACGTAAAACTACATTATTTCAACGTTAAAACAACGGCAATATTGGCATGTTGAATGTTTATTTAATTTTAAACGTCCGATCAACGTCGAAATCTGACCAAAACTAGAACAGACATAAAACAGTCTTATTTCAACGTTGAAACAACGTCGATATCGGTACGTTGATTGTTTAGCTATTTACCAGCATGGAACTAATGTTATCACACTAACATTGAATGAAATACATATACATATGTGAACGATTAATGACCAGAGAATGCATTTCAATTTTCATGAAGTCGAACAATTCTTTAGATTTTTTATTGCTCATGCACGCGAGCTGCTGTGGTCAAGGTTGCCAAGGCGTCGCACGGTCTCCAGCGATCCCGGGTTCGAATCCTGCTACGGACTAAAAACAGATTGGTTCTTCAACGTTGATTCAACTAGACTAGAGAATTTGACTTTGCAGCAATGTCGTAGTGGTGATATTGATTCAACGTTGCATTGTAACGTCAGTACGACTTTTCATGAGAGACGTTGCTTCAATTTTCATTCTAAACCTTTTTTCACCGCGATCTCAACGTCATAATAGGTAAATGTTTCAACGCGATTCAACCATAGAATTTAACATTGCAGCAACTTCGCAGTAGCAATATTGATTCAACGCTGCATAGTAACGTCAGTACGACGTTTAATGAAAGATGTTGCTTAAATTTTCATTCTAAACCACTTTTCACCCCGATCTCAACGTCGTAATAGGTAGTTGTTTCAACATCAATTCAACCATAGAATTCAACGTGGCAGCAACGTTGAAGTAGCAACTTAATTCAACGTTGCATTGTAACGTCATTACGACGTTTCATGAAAGATGTTGCTACAATTTTCATTCTAAATCAATTTTCACCCCGATCTCAACGTCGTAATAGGTAGTTGTTTCAACGTCGATTCAACCATAGAATTCAACGTTGCAGCAACGTTGAAGTAGCAACGTTGATTCAACGTTGCATTGTAACGTCAGTACGACGTTTCATGAAAGATTGTAACGTCAATTTTCATTCTAAACCTCATTTAACTCCGATCTCAACGTCGTAATAGGTAGTTGATTCAATATTGATTCAACCGCCTAATGCCTGCTGGGATCGGTGGGTCCGTAAAATTGAAAATTCGCGGATGCATCAGCATATTTAGGCCGGGTCCATTTGTCGCGGTCGCCGCTGCCGCAAATAAAATAGAGGTGCAAGGTGTGCTATTGGAACATTATATTATCAGTATTGGCTACTGGCAGTATTGGCTGCCGCCGTGTGAGGCATTATTGGCAACCGTTATCTACACCCTATATAAACTCATCCACAGGACGTACCTACTGAATACTCGAACTATCAATAACTTGAATTTTCGTGCTCCTATTTCCAGGTACTCGTATTCATCTTAATTGCATCCAGAGGAATTTAAACCTAATTCCCGGTATGCGGAATTTTGAAAAACGAATCATTTAATCGGCGTCATTATGAACCAGCTCAGCTTAACTTGTAGTCTATGGCTGAATACCGTCAAGATAAACCAAGTTCTAGAATCTACCTTCCATAAACTTTTTGGAATTGGCCCGAGTAATAGCTTGAAACTGATACGCATCGTTAATGCCGACTTAACTAGATGTGGACTCGATAAACAGGCTATAGCTGGGCGTCGACCTTAACTAGAATAATTTTGTTATTTTCAAGAATTGTTTTGCCACATAATTTGATTGCAATCAATCAAATATTTTACTTATGCAAGTTTCAGCAGTATCACCATTCATTGAATAAAGGTGACTGACACATGATATTTAAAACCACGAAATACAATTCTTCGTTTCTTGTGAAGTAAAACAGTAGTAATGAAGCCAGTCTGGAGTGAGATCAATCAGAATCTGGTCCCTACTTTACTACTAAGGATCACTGGTGTAATTTAATGTGTCAGGTTTCAATTGATTTTCATGAAGAACCATGTCATTAGCTTATTTCGAATATTAAAAGGCAGCAGTCGAGAATAATCGAGTGCCTGGAAATGACTCGTATTCTCTGTACAGTGTGTTATTGAGGTTTGCATCAACAACCTATAGGTGACCAACGGTCTCAGCCGGTAGTTGGACGTAACTATCACCATCAGGACTATCACCTAACTGTCCCAGAAGGTAAATGATTGCGGCCACGACCATTGAAACTTTCAACTGGGGACCACCGTTGGGACTTTCTCCCAAAGGTCCTAATTTGTGAGTAGAGCGTGAAAACCACCATTAGGACTCACACCTAACGATGTCAGACTGTAGTTGATATCGACCACAACCATTATAACTCTCTCCTAACTGTCCCAGCCTAAAGTCGAGCATAATCACAACTATAAGAACTCTCACCTAGCGGTCCCAGCATGTAACTGTAGCATGACCATCCCCATATGGAATCTCCCTCCTAGCTGTCCTACACCTGTAGTTGAGCGTGGCCACCACCATAGGACTCTTGATTGCCTAGCGGTCCTAGTCCGTTAGTTGCAGCGTGTCCACCACTATTAGGACTCGCACCCAGCGGCCCCACTCTGAAGCTGCAGCGTGAGCACAAACACTAGGCCTCTCACCTAACTATGCCAGCCTGCAGCTTGGCGTGCATATCACCATTATTACTCTCACTTAGCGGTCCCAGCCTGTAGTTGAGCGTAACCAAAACCATTAGGAATCTCACCTAGCGGTCCCAGCCTGTAGTTGAGCTTCACCAAAACCATTAGGAATCTCACCTAGAGGTCCCAGCCTGTAGTTGAGCGTGACCACAACCAAAAGGACTCACACCTAACGGTCCCAGCCTGCAGTCGAGCTTCACCACAACAATTAGGAATCTCACCTAGAGGTCCCAACCTGTAGTCGAGCTTCACCACAACAATTATTAATCTCACCTAGAGGTCCCA